TTTTGGCGGGGGGAGGCTCGGGCAGCTAGGCCAGCAGTTCGGGCAGGGCCGGGGGGTCGGTGCTGTAGGTCTCCTGCTTGAAGGTGGCCAGCATGCAGGAGGGGGAGGCCAGCGAGGACAGCTCCATGGAGGCCAGGCCGCTCTGATGCTGTTCCAGGTTCAAAATATCCTTGACCGAGAAGGGTGTCGTTGTCACAGGGCTAGGAAACATTGTGGAGGAGTGTAGGGCAGCGGCCGCAGCCCAGGGTCATGGAAAAGGAGGTGAGGAGCAGCCAACCTGGAGCAGTGGTGGAGCCTGGGCTCACGGAGGGGGCACATAGCATTCCCGCGAGTAGCCTTGACTTGTGCACTGGAGGCAGGTAGGAGCAGACCATAAGGGAAGGGAAGGAGGGACTAGGCAGTTTTTGGGTGACTTTAGCTTTCTATTGGCCAACATTGCAGTGATGGTATGAGAGATGCAAAGTTCCATGTCACCTAATATAGTAATACATCTCAAAAACATCTCCGCTCATTTAAAGGGCCGGCACTGCATTTATCCAGCTTTTCCGTGCTCAGTTTCTTCATCCATTAGAAAAAAACCCTCCAGAATGGCCTAATGTGTACAAAGCCACTATCTGACGCTATCTATCATACAGTCAGATTAAATAAACAGCCCGGGAGGAAACCATCAACCAAATATGTGCTGATTTCATATCTTTTTTTTTTTTTTAAGCGAGGGAACAGAGGTTTCGTTTTTAGTGTTCTGCAATATCCGATCGCAGGAACTCGAAAGAGGGAGTTCACTGCTGTGTGAAGAGCGCTCAAGGGGAAATCCACGCTTAAGGTTTATACAGATATTCTGAAGCAGCACAACGCCCGCAAAATCCAGCTGACAGGAGAGAGCCCCGAACAGCCCCTGCCTGGCTTGGGAGAGGGAAGTGCCGATTGGGTTTTGTTGCCGCTTGTTTGTAAAGCTTTCAAACAAAAACTCAGCGCTGTCTGGGGGAGGGGGAAAATAAATAGAAAAGGAAAATAAACCAAAACAAGCGCGGGTTGAAGGTGTTGTAAAATATACAGTGATGCTGATGAGAGGAGCAAATCAAAGGAATCGGTTGGGTTGTCGGTCGGGTCCCGGTGCTGCAGGGTCCCCCCAGCTCGGGTGGGCGCACGGCCGCCCCCGGTTCATGGAGCAAAAGTAGGAGCTCATTCGTTTAACTCGCATGGAGTGGCTAAAATAAACCTTAGCGGCAAAATCGCAGGTTGAGGAGGGGCGTTACGGTGCTTTCTGGGTTCGGGGGCTGAGAAAATAATGAAAC